AAATATTGCAATACTAATATTTCTTATTTGTTTAATATTTTTATATAATAATAATAGTAATAATAATAATATATTATGTATGTTATACTCGTATTTATATATAATAAAAACTAGCCAAATTGTGCAGCCCTATAAACAAGCACAGCAAACCTGTTTTTGAATCACAATTTTTATCAGAAAAATCACAGTTTGTCCCATAAATCGTGCAGCCCTACAATTAGCTATTTTTAAACAAGCAATTTTTTAATATGTCCCACCCAACTTTCTGTAAACTACAGTAAAGAAACTGCACTTGTCAGGCTATATGATTGGTCACTTAATGCAACATTTTCTCTTTCATCCTGGACAGAAAAAGGACAGAAACAAGCTGTGACTTGTGTCTTATTCCATGCTGTGTGCTCATATGTATGCTGCACGTTTTGGCCAATGTAGTAGGTCACCCAAGTATTCCATGCATACTACGGTATATACTGTTAGTATGCTATTCTGAATAGAGACCATGTCAGTGTGTGATCAGAGCTTCCTGTTTGGTGTTCACAGCAGCCAATCACATCATGAACTAACTGCAAATCACTGGATTTGATCCAACTCCCAACGAGTGAGGTCATCAAACTGAGCCATGAATGCAGGAGCCAGATGTTGTGTGTGTGCTCTGTGTTCAAATATCCAAATCCTCCTCTTGCTCTGTACGAAGAAACTGCACGTTTTAATCCTGTGAAAAAATAAACCGAACTTTCAATGCTCTGCTGTTCAACCACCCATCAACACTGCCTCAACCCAATCAAAGTGAAACTGAAGGACTGAGCAGCTGTAACTGTGACCGATATTATATTTACAGATTTTTTTTTACATGTTAACTGTATGAGATATTTAGACATGATAAATATATTCTTACTCTGTTTCATAACTCTTTTGTGTCCTGTCTTCTGTTTTTTGCCTTGTACCATTTCTTAATGCAGTAGATTCAAAAGTGAAATTCTAACTTTTAAGTTCCTGCCAATTAAAAATGTCATATATAATTTTCTATATTTTTCTTCTTTAAGTGTTCTTGTTCAGTTAATGACTTTTCCCGTGCAGCTTTACAAATCTAATTTGACTGATTTATATTTTCAAAAATATTTCATTTCTAGCAGTTTGTGTTGCATCTGATGAACTTTTATTTGAGCTGCAAGTATTTCTGTATTTGCGTTCTCTGGCCAGCAGAGGGAGGTCATATTTTGTCAAAATAGTGCAAAAAAAAATCGTCAAATAGATCCTGCACTTTTTAACTTCTCATGCTATCAAAAACCAGTATATTTAATGTCAAGGTAACTTAAAGTACATTAATTATAGATCTAAAAATAGCGACGACCGAATTGTTGAGGCTGAATTTAGCACTGAATTTACTATGATGAATGCATCTTATCAATATTAATTATGCAAATTCATGTGTATATAGTGAGCCTATCTGATTGGCTGACAGGCATACGTTGGCATGTGAACGCTAGTCATTTGGCGAATTGCTGAAGCGTGCTTATGAATATTAATTAGATTACGTAACCGAACACCCTGGCCTGACTCAAGCATGATAAACGTTTAACATGAATTTAACTTGGAACGTCTTTTCTATAAATCTTTAGATATGAAAGTTTATTTTCCAGATTTTTTTGTTGTTGTTATTTTGATATACATAGATTATTACCACATGTGGCTTTTATTTTCAATCTTTGTTTATATATATATATATATATATATATATATATA